AGCTGTATTCGTACGTTCTACAGAATATTCGTCATAATGCGACTTACTTAGAAAAGGAGTGTTTTGTAAGAGGGAGGAAAAAATTATCTATTGATTTTTCTGACGTCTTGTCAAAGTTGTTATATTACTCGCAGACTAAATAACGGTTATTACTGGCAGCAATTAATAACTAAAGACAAGGAAGGTCCACGTCTGATGATTTGTGTTTTTCGTGTGTCCCGTCCCTAAAAGCAGACTAATTTATTTAAGTATTTTACCCTTTTCTAATGTATTTAATAACAAATCTTGTATGGCGTCGTGTGACCGACCCCCTTCCAACTTTCGATTTACTGGTAGAAAATATACATAGAATCATTCTATGGTTTAGTAAATGCAGAATGATTTTCGAAAATCCTATTTATTAAGTGGAGCACGAAAAATGGAGATTTCTTATCGTAATGTGACACTGATTTCGATTTTGCAACGTAATATTTATTTATCTGTATCCATTTTTAGGCTAGGAATAGGTTATTCGACTCGAAAAAGTGGCGCGGAATATGATGGATTTCGAGTAACAAATTAATACGGATCTATTTTAAATAAATTAACAACTAGGAGGAAAGCCGTGTTTGTTACGGATTTACAGAGATCCCATTAAGGTTTTAGTCCAGGTAAACACGGTAAGGCCATGGCACCTTTTCAAAAACAACCCAATTCTATTTGCTTAAAATAAATAATGCTATCTGTTTACCATACAATGAACTCTATTCGGCTCCATTACTAAATTTTAACAAATATTGACTTCGACTCGCGCTACTAACACCTTAGAAATATTTTTTTTTTAAAGCCGTGTTTTTCCTCTCGTATGCCTTTCGTGTCCTCGCATTTCTGTTTAAAGCGCATAATATGCGGAAACAATTGCAAATTCTAGCTACTCCGCCGCTAAACAATTCAGGTTTTTAAGTATTTACGTCATCCAATATTATTAGCGTAATTACCAAAAAAAGCCGAAAAATTTTGCAAATTACGACACTTAAAAGATATTAAATAGCACTAACCGCGGCGAAACAGTCGCCATTTTAACTTAATGGAAAACGAAGTGACGAAACCGTTTTCTATTGTTGTTACGGCAACAATACGAGTACTATTGCGGTTATCGTACGTAACAAATAATGCGTTATCAAGGTTACGAGAATGCGAAGAGCGGTTGGGTCGAGAACCCAGATCACATCTTAAAATTTATCACTTTCAATATATAACTGTACCCAAGTTAAACACAATGTAATCCTTGGCTTTGTGACGTCACGTCTATTGTCTCGTGCACGTGTGCTCGACTATTCTATTGATTCCTGGCCATTGCAGTTGAGCGAAAGCCCGGAGTCAATGAAGCTTTGCGGTCGAATTTCGCGACTAAATCTTTCTTCTGCTTCTTTATAACGAACTCGGGATTAAGAAGGATTTTCTCCGTGTATTGTTGCAAACTTTGGAGTATCGACCATCGATTATAGTCCGAACGAAATTGTTATAAAATGGCAACCGCTTCGATAATTATTGACGTTTATTTTTGTTCCGATCGTTCGGTCCGTGCTTATATATATTTTTATTTTTTAAAAAATGCTAACCTTGGAAACATAAATCGCAACTTATCTAAAAATAAAAGCGAATAGTCACGAAGGGATGTAAATAAACTGCAGCGATACTTTCTTCTAGAATTGAAAAATCTCTGGTCGCCAGTTCACGCTGTTTTTCTTTTCTTCTTTACTAAATGTGTCAGATTTTATCGCTGGTGCCGCTAATTTTAACGACAGTCAAATTCTTACTCAATTTCGTCCGTAGTTTGGCATTGATTGGGTTCGCAACTGCCGTTTTACCTTCCTTCTTTACCCGGATATTATGTGATATTTGTCTCTATAATTTAATACGTGTCGGTGTATTTCAACAAACTAAAGGTTATGGATTCGAATCCAGCCAGACTCTCCGAATAAACGACTTTGGATCGATTCGACACTAAAATAGAGTAGAGCGTCGATTATCCGAAAGTCCATCATCCGAAAGAATTCCGGTCGGCAAATTTAAATTTTCGCCAGTGCTGTGGCGCTTCAATCTTTGGCTATGTCTTGGGCTACTCAAATATTTTACGTTTTTGATACTAAATTAACTTCTGAAGTATTGTTTTTATATTTTTGAATACATTTATTTTGTTCGTACACAAGAAAAAAATAGTTTTTAACGATAAAATAGTCTTCGTTAGGCTTAACATGGACGAAAATTCAACGCGAAGCGACACGCGACGGAGAAAAATGTCAAGATGGGATAAATTAATATATTTTTTTCGTATATAATCGGTTATCCGAAACATCGATCTTCCGAACAACCCCAGTTCCCAATTGATTCGGATAATCGACGCTCTACTGTACTCAGTTTTGTGTATTTTATAGAATACGTAGAAAGGAGAGTTGTTAATTTAATGAAAACTAAAAGAATATTCCGTGATTAAATCCTACGTACAGATTAATTTGTAGTAAAACCAAAGTTTGATAACGAAAACGGTGTAAGAGAGAATAAAAAAAATGAGTAATGGACAAAGCGGAGTTTGCCCTTATTCGTTGCGTAGGAAAAGCTGGTAAATATTTATAATGGTCATTTTAATTTGTTATCATTTCCAAGCGAATTTTAATCTGCTGATATTTTTTAAGCGTTACGTTAAAGGACGATAAGAAAATATTATTGGCCGACGAATTCGACCTTCGTCGGGTATTCATTCGATAGCGAGAAAAAGAGTCGGAATCGATGCCAAAAGTACGGCTCTAGAAATGACTCGTCAGACGAGATCCGCGGGGACGACCTTCGTTTCGGACGATGCAATCGGTTTGTAATCGTCTTACGTAACTTAAATTATATACGCATATATAAAATCTAGTTTTTTGCTTGAGAAAATTTACCTTCGGTGTCCCGCACCAAGGACGACAAAAACATTACCCAAAATATTTAGCGTAAAATTTGTTATAAACAATTGATTTTATTGGTTTTTCTGCCTCGCCTTTAAAAAGATGCGCTCGAACACAGGATTTGAGCACTTTTATCTGCAGTTTCGTACACTAATAACTTGTACCAGCGAGCATTTTCCAGTTCGTAAAGGAAATGAAGTGATTTTCGTTTCACCGCTTACCTTACATTTTGATAGAATTTAATAGGATCGTACCGGATTTCGATTTTCTCGGTTTATCTTATTGCTAAAGGCTGTTTTAGGTACATATTTACGGTAAAAAAAGAGGGGGGAAATGGTTGTAAGTCGACTCTAATCTTTATCACAATTGCTATTAAGAAAACGAGTTGTAAAACTACACCGAAATTTCTAAATCGCCGGAAAAATTCCTCCTTTCACTCGTTGTATCCGAAGGGTGAGATAATGAAAAGTGTTAGAGACGAGGGTTGTAATTTTCCGTCCCTAACGACGGGTGAAAGTTGGAAAAGTGTAAAGTACTTGGCGGGCGTTAGTAGCCCTATAAACGTGTTACGCTTTAATTTCTCGGCCATTTAATGCGGTTCCGACTATCGATAAAATTGCCCCTTTTTTGTTTTTCTTCTTACCTCATCACGACACGAAAAATAGGATTTCATCGTCCAATTTCACGCTTCCTGCCGCCAATGGGTGCCGTTAAAATTGGCCAGTCACGACACTAATACGGATAGCCTCTTCGTAGATGCGTGCGTATTCGTCACGACTGTTTTCTATTCGTAAATACGTGTAAAAGGGACCGGAAAATGTCACCAGAGAGTTTTAGATCTCGACTATAAATCAATTATTTGATTCTTTTTTCTGCTTAAACTAATGATCTATTGACGTGATGTTCCCTTTCGTGAAGATTGACCAATATAACTTTTAAACCGATCTTATAGATTTTTGCAGACTTTATAATCAAAGCTTAATAAAAATTTCCGTTCTTTCGTGATAAATAAAAGTACTTGTTTATTTCGCTCACTTTTTAAATCATAAATTGACGTTCCATCGATTAATTGAACATTTAATCAATAGAAACGTCAATTATGTTGTAGAAACCGAAAATATCCGTTGAACGTCTGTGTTTTTTACAACAAATATTCGATTCTTAATGTGTGGCGCGTGGATATTAGTTTTGCCAGCAACCGTTTTCCCCGCTCAGAAATCTTAAAATGTTATTCGGCCTCGTAAATACTCGCATATATTTTTTCAATCATTTATGTGCAAAGAGAAGCGATGGCGAGAAAGAAGGGAACGGAGACCAATAAAAGCGGGTGAAGAAGTTAACAATGGCAGAACGCGAAAGAAGTGTTTTAATAATTTGGTATTTATCAAAAGACTGTTTTCGGCATCAAAAAAGACAAACGGATGAAAAACCAATCGTGTTGACTCTAGGAATAACGAGATTGAGCTAGAAACAAACATCTCCGGGCCAACTCGATTACTATCAATATACTTTAGTAATGTTTTCGTTTCTCGTTTCCTCTCTTTCTATTTGACTTCTCTCTCTTTTTTACCATCCGCGGAATTATTTATAATTCATACATTAAAATTAAATGAATTTTTTAAAGACATTTCTCTTCCACCTTTCCTCTTAATCACGAATTAAAGAAGAAGCCTATCCTAAATACCAGCGGGTTTGGCATATTTAAATTTATAATAAATTCCAACTTTTATAATTTCTGCCCCCCCAAGGTGGAATATTATTTAGAAGTATAACAGAATGTATAAAGAAATTTTTTAGAAAGGAAAACATGATTGAAATTCTGAATGTGAAAGATAACCGAATCGCCCTTAAGGTATTTTCTTGTTGCCTTTCAAGGACATTTTAATATATTGGTGTGGCATTTCCAATGAATGTAATCTTTCGTTTATAGACGCGTTATTAAATATTAAATAAAATTTTTGCTTTATAATTAATTGGAGCCTTTACTGCCGCGTTTAATGTACTTTAAACGAGGCTGCGAGGCCGAAAACGTAATGCTTAAACTCGGAATGAATTTGTTTTTTGTGTTTTCAGGCCGGGACCGGCCCAGGTTACATCTGTGTGACGACGCCGTCCCTTATAGTAGACCCGACAGTCACCAAAGTGCCGACCTGGCTCCCAGAAAGAGAAGAGGGAACCTGCCGAAAGAATCTGTCAAGATACTAAAAATGTGGTTGTACGAACATCGCTACAACGCTTATCCTTCTGATCAGGAGAAGATCCTTCTTTCGAAAGAAGCCAACTTGAGCGTCCTTCAAGTGTGCAATTGGTTCATCAATGCCCGTAGAAGGATCTTACCTGACATGATCAGGAAAGAGGGACAAGATCCATTGCAATTCACCATAACCAGGAAGGGTGCCGCTCACAGGAGTAGTCGTACTATCCTACACGTCCAGGGGAGTGGACGCAACAGTTCCGGTGGATCGGTAGGGAAATCTAGTCCCCCCTTACCTAGTGCCACGGATGGCAGCGAGGATAGTGCCACGGATGGCGATCCCGACAGCGAAGATTCGGACAGTAGTGGCAACTCGAGCGATTCCAGACTGACTTCTTCGGAGGACGGTCCATTGAAATTAACGAAGAGGTGGAGAAGGACTCACGAACAAGAACTCCTGAGTAAGAGCCCCGAAGATAGTTCCTATTTAGCAGCCGCATACACCGAGTCTTCCAGAAATGGTCTGGATCGTGGTCATTCGTCGGTGACTTGGGCGTTATCCAACCACACACCTCCTCCTACACCACCGTCGATAGGTAAGGACGATCCTTTCAGTTGTCTTTACTTGTTGGTCGACGTCGCTGTCAGAGAACTTGCCAAACAGCGATCGGAAGTGGGCACCGCAGGAGCCGATTTATGACTCCCACTTCATTGTTTAAAGCGACAACCTCAGCCGAAAATTGGAGAAAAGTTTTGGTTTTCTTCTTCGATATAAGTGCCTGCAACGTCTGCTCAAAACAATTTCAAAAATAAAATAAACTGCCCAGAATGTGTAGAGACGTTAGAAGAGAGTGTTGTGTTGTTTTTTGTGAGTGGCTAAGCCTACAAAAATCTAAAAAGTGCCTTTTATTTTCTGCTGAGTTTTTAGCATTATCAGAAGATACGTGTGTTACTCGTTGAATAATGAACAAGACTTCATTTCATTCTATTTTTAACTTCATCAGGTTTTTAGTTAATCGTCGACTCGAGGACCGATGCCGTGTACATTTCTTTTCACAACATAGTTTTTTTTATTCGTCTACATCCCGTCACTACTCCACACAGAGGCTAAGGATTTTATTTGACAAATATATATATATTTTTCGTTTCGTCTTTTGATCAGATACGAAAGGTCAGATACGAATGCCTTAATATATACTGGCTAGGCGTGACGTCTCGCCTACTCCGTCGGATTATGGGCATCACTTTGCCTGATTTAAAAACAAACAAATATATATTCAAAATGATATTACCAAGCTTTTTTTCGCTTCTTTTTAACAGAAATTTGATTTTTTTTTTTTTGTTTTTTTCCTCTCTTCTAATAAACGGAATAGATATAGAAGCTTTTTTGTGTGTTTTTTAAGACATTTAATTTTTATTCTATCTATCTATCTAATCGAATCGAATCTATCTTAGTCCTTCTCTCTATCTATCTCTCTTCTCTCTCTTCTCTCTCTTCCTCTCGCTCTCTAGGACTCTCTCTCACCGTCTGCTGTGACCTTTCGTGTCGCCAGTTTTCGATTAAGGAGAGAGAAAACAAGGAAAATAGTTGTAAAAAACGAAAAATAAGAGAAAATAATCCTTAGCCATAAGAGAGGGGAGAGAATTTTAGGCTTAAAAGCATACGTATATACAAATTATACAAAAAAATATATTTATATATCTATATATATATATATGTATATACACATATATATAAATATATATATATATCTATTTCAGTTCAGGANTATATATATATAATATACATAAAGAGTAAAATATTACAGGTGCTATCGTGTTGAAAATAGTAAAGAAAAGAGAAAAAATTTATTGAACTTTACGGAATGACTGTATTGTTTCCGTTGATAGATTAAAGAGTGAAATATTTATTAAAAAATAAATAAATAAAATAAGTGAAATCAAATAAGGATCGAATTATTTGGAGGAGAGAAAAATGAAAAAAATAAGAGTTAAATTTCTTCTTCGTTATCCGAGAGATCTGTAAGTAGTATCTATACATAATTGGCTATTTTAGGCAATAAACTAACAATCCAGATGCTTTAAAAAATTATATATATATTTAAAAAAATGAATAACTAAAATCAAAGAAGAGTAATGGTTAAAATATATTGTTTAAAAACAGGCCAGAGTTTAGTTTAAGGTCCCCCTAATTTAAGGGGGAGACAGCTAGTCACGTGTTTTTAGTGTTGTCACCTGTACATTCCACTTCATCTCCTGTAGTGCAATTCTATTGGGAGAGCGTCAGATGGCAAATGGGTTTGTCTAGTATGTATAAATAAAGGTGTGTTATGGAAAAGTAGAAAAAAGTGTCTTGTCTTGTCATATCTTTATACCTCTTCGTTTATTCTATAACCTTTTATTTTACTATCAAATTTATATATAATAACCTATATATATGTGACGTATAATAGGATAAAGAATATGATTAACCCGAATAATACGACTATTTTAAGTGGCCTGGAAATTATCATAACTAGTTTATTGATTTGTGTTCTTACGAGTAATTAAATTGTTCTATATAAATGTAAATATTTTTAATTTTAATATATGAGGAATTATATATTAAACCTCCTCCTACACCACCGTCGATAAAACGACGAGTAAAAGAGGGGTCTTAAATTGAGGAAATTGCACGAAGAGTGGACCTTGGCGGTTGCAAAATTGAGGTGTCGAAAACTGAGAGAATTGAGGAAATAATATAAGGTAAAAGACTCGGAATTTAAAGTATGCCTTCCTAATTCTCGAAATGTTACGTTTAAATCGCGATTTATTATTATTTAAGAGAATTATATAATCAATAAGTACTTCAGTCGTTAATGAGGGTATAAGTTGAGGGAATTGCACGAGGGCCTATAAGAGATGAGGTTGCAAAATTGGTGGACTGGAACTAATATTAAAACAAGAAAGTTGAGGAAATAACGTATAAAAAGATTAAGAACTGAAGATAGCCTTGCCCAATTCTGCAAACTTTATATTTAATCTTTAATGTGTCTATATGTAGGCCTGAAATCGTTTAAGAAAGTCGAAAACTCGTTTTATTTCTATTAAAAGTTTCGTATGACCCGAAGTAATTTGAATTTAATTTTTATTTTACTTTACAGGATTTTAAGTCGGGAATTCTTAACCTATTCTCTAGAGTGAAATGGACTGGAAGCAAAATAACCTATTTCCTAATAATATAAAAGAGAATGAGAGAGTAATCCCATTTACATCGATAGATCTTCTCTATGTTTCCGTCATCAATAAACATATTATAGTTTCTTCCTCTGTTCGATAAGCCATAAATCGAATTATTTTTCCAATAATCTTCTTTCCCTGCAATTCTTAACCTTTTTTAAAAACTCCAGGCTACGAATTTTCGTAGAAAAGTTCCCCCAATTCTTGTAAAAACTCCCTTCCTAATTGTATTCGAGTGACAAAGGGGTCTCGAAGTTCGCACCAAAGAATTTTCATTTTTTAATAGTTTTATTGAGTAGAAAATTAAGCTTACAACTCGAATAGAATAGGGGGTAATGTCCTTTCTACCTCCTCATTCCCGAGTGTAACTTCCAATTTAAACAATGTAGAGATTCGTGTGTATATTTGGCAGCGTACTACAGACGAGGTGACGTTGTTTCACTTTAGAAATAATGACATTTCCCCTTTGCCTTTACGATTCTAGAAAAATAAAATAACCTTTTAACTTATAAATAATTGGAAACTTATCTAGAAAATTCTCAAAACTCTACGGGAAGTGATAAAAATCTTCCTTCTTCGTAGCTTAAGCGGAATGTATCTTTAATTTTCTACAATTGTATTTAAATACGCGGAAGATTTTAATTAATTTCGCCACGAATTGAGTTGAGAGTAAACCAAATGAATCGAATTTTATTATTAGTGCCATTAAGTTTTCTACTTATTATAAATTCTAGAAAAGAAAATGTCATTTCTTCTTCAGAATTATATATAAATCACAGAAATGTAATGACTTGACAAGGAAAAGATGATTCTAACGATGCAAAGAACAATATTTTACCTCTAGATAAGCCATAAATTTTCTTCATTTAAACAAGTTCTACTTATAAATATTATTGCTTAATACTTTTCTAGTTCAAATTCTTGCATTTTTATTATTATAAATGTAAAATAGACTCGATTGTCGTGTATTTTCTTAACTTCTCTTACGTCTCATTCAATGTTTTTCTTCTATTCTACATTAATCTCGATCTGGTGTTTAAAAAATACGTAATTCCGAAAAACGTGCATTTAATTAAGCGTTATTTAAATCGAGTTGTGTAGTTGCGGACGATAATTGCATATAACGAATTCTTATACGTTTGCTACGAGGGTGGTTGTTTCTTCCGCATTTCTATCCACAACATTAACTCGCATTCCCCGTTACCACACTATAATCCTTTCTTCCGATTTTCCTCTTTTCTCTACCGCTTTTGCATTTAATTTCTCATTTCACTTTCGACCACACAATCCGGATTATAAAGATTAAGGATTAAATACCCGAGGATTAGAGGGAAAATACAATCATTTATCTTCGTTAACTCGTAAATGCAATGTCAGACAGTAACGTGTACAAAACGTAAAAAGTCTCTCCCCAAACAATACTAGTGTTTCTCAACCTTTACTAAGTAGACGTTCATTTGTGGTTACTACGAAGTTAGGAACGTCACTGGCCAGCTACCGGTTGACAAACGTTGCGCGCTAACCAATATTTCTGTACAATAATAATCATTGTCGTCGTTTTAAACCAGGAAAAACCAGCGATATAAAAATTTATTGATAATAAACTTATTTTATTAGCGTAGAAGATGGGATGTAATTCATCTAAGAGATAAAAATTATAAATTATTTTTAAAACGCGATAAGATTGTTACAAAATCGCATCCTTTTATATTCTAATTTATATTTTAAAAGTTTGCCCGCGCCTTATCTGTTATCCCGTAACCAGCCGCGCTATTCGTCGTTTAAAGTGGCCACAGGTGCCCAAAAGACAGTCGACCCAATGCACGGTTAACTAACTTTTGAACCGCTTCAGAGTCTGTTTATTACGCTGAATTCAAAGATTGTTTAAGGTTTAAAAAAAATTAATGGAGAGGTTAAAAATTAAGTAGATTTTCTTTTAACGGGAGGAAACGTAAGGCAAATTGTTTAAAAAATGTATGAAAACGGTGTGACGAGGGAAAGATGCGACTCTGGAGGTATTTCTACGGGAAGCCGGCTCCTATTTAGGCGAAGAAAACCTGGAAAGCCGCTGGGTTTTATTCACTCCGCCACTGGTGGGTGGGTAGAAATAGTACGAAGAGGTGACGACCGTTATAAAAGCTGAAAAGTATGTATTTAAATGGACGAAGAGTTTTAAGACAACGATTAAGAATAAGAAATACGGGAGAAATTTGTGCGCGCGGTAAGAGGAGGTTGGAGCGGGACCTGGCCAGACAGATTTCTTTTTAAATCGAAATTTAAAATTTCAACAATGATTTTTACAAATTATGAATAATGACATTTTTGTTTTTACGAGAGTGCGAACTGACTGTCGATTTTTCCATTAAGAATTACAAATCATCCGATGATTTTATTTTCGAGAACGAGTTGAAGTGTGTTTCGCTCTTGCCGGAGCTTCGACAAGAGCTCGATGAATTAACGGTAAAAGATAATGAATATTTTCTTGAATTTCTACGTCTGCCGCTTTGCTGCAACCGAGGTGAAAAAATAAAATACACCAAACAGATTTTCACGCTATCGATTTTATTTCAAAGAAATAATATTACGAAACTTAAATCCCCCGTGCACAATCAATTTTCGCTAAGTTTGAGGAAACATTTGACACAATGTCTGCTAAAAATAGCAATTCTGATGAAATAATTAATCAAATTTCAAAACGTTTTGCTAGTTTATGGACGAATACAAACACAGTTTACGCGTAATCGTGCGCGGGGATATAAAAGTGACTTCGAAGACATTCGCAATTAAAATTGCCTCTATGGGTTTTCTCGTCGACCTATATACGGGATGGCCCGGAAATCGGTTAACCACTAAAGACTTAAGCGTTGTATTTTCGCGCGTATAACCGCGTGGCGTGATTGGCATCCTGGTTTAAAGGCGAAAAACACGACCAATCGTAGCTTTTATCGTCTTTCCACTTACGTGCATCACCATTCGTACTCGCAAATGTACTCGGAATGCGGCCCACCGGTGCCCGAGTAGGAAAAACCGGTACGGTAGTTTTCTAGCTTTCTTCGCCTATTAATACGGTATTTAAATAGGGGCCAGTTTCTTACGGAAAGTCCTCCCGAGAGGTGGCATCGTCTACTTCAACCAATCTTGTCGTACCACCGGAAGACGGAGTTAACCGATTTTTGGACCATTCTTTTTGCCAGAAATGTTGGGATTGTGGAATAAAAATACGTTGGAAAGACAGACAAATTGGCAGCGGTGGAGGAGTCTGCCAGGGAAGACGAGCAACGACGATATTTCCAATCTAAAAAAGTCACTTATAGATTTATAACTTGTATTTGAAGCAAATTTATTCGTATTAATAGAATAGTGTTTCCTGCGGTAGAAAATAAATACGACGAGTTATATATATATGTAATAGAATTTTCCATCAAAATTGATGGATGCTGATCTATATAATATTACTGCGTAGAATCAGAACATATGGACGTCTTTCGACATCCGCCAGGACGTAAGGACGGCCTTAAGGTAT